GTTGTCAACTTTTATTTCAGCTAAACTATTGTCAATAATGGTACCACCACCTGCAGCCGTGCCACCACTACCACCCCCACCACTATACATATCCGCCACAAATGGTATATCTATTTGGAGGAAGCGAAAAAAACACAGAAATACACACAAATGGTCAATCATTTTACAAAAACTATTCCAATCTATACAAATAAAATCCCATAAATTGAAATAAATTTTCATTTCCCCCCTTTATCGATTTATTTACCTGTAGCTTTGTTCGCCTTCTTCATTTCCATAATTTCGTTATTCGGTATAAATTTGAATTTACCACGAAATCCTTTTGCCGTTACATTAGAACTTGCATTGAATTCAATTAAAAGATCCGGTCCTGTGCTGAGAATATGACGTGTGCCACTCGACGAATTGCCGCACAGGACATCGATGACAGCGTTCATATTAAGGGATTCTGCATCGAATATGGTTAGTTTGTCTAAATTGCAACTGGAAATTATTTAATAAACGAAATATATTTTTTTAGTTTCAAGATGTTGATAGAGATTTTTATTTTGGGGCTAATCAATACCTGTCGTTAACCATGGGTATTTCCAATTCTTCGAATATCAGTTCCACGCGTGTTTCTGGCCTGAAAATGTGCAAACCTTAGATTTTTAAAACACATTATATAAATATTCGAAGAAATATTAATACGTTTAATGTTTTTTCTCCAAATAACTTTAAATTGACCACATGAATTATACATTGACTTCAAGGCGTTGATACAGATAAGATATTTGAGATATCTGCACCTTTGGCTTTCCTACACAGAAAAATTTGCAAGTGTTGTTTGTTTAGGAAGTCAAAACTACTGCACCTGCAACCTTAAAGGGCCAGGGAACTACTGGGAACCACCTAATCTAAGTTTAACAAACAATTATGTAAACCATAAAGTGTACTAAATACAAATTTCAGCAATTTTTAATGGATTTTTATACCGTTAGCCTTACGGCTAATGAGAGTGTATACACTTTGATACGGTGAAAATGTGCCTCATCGAAATATTAATTCTAGACCCATGTTTCTTTGGATAAAATATGTTTCAAAAATTTGGATTTCATCCAAACTTTGCACATCTTATTATTTTTTCCAAACATAGTTGAAGTTCGAAAATGGGGAATATTGGTCCACGCCTTCTGGTACCTCCCACACAGGGGCTAGGGCTTGGCTTAAATGCGGGCTATAGATCATTATCGAACCTTGAAATGCTTACAACAGAGTCTTAGAACCAAAATCCAAAACGCGGAATAAATCATATAACTATTTTAATATAAAAAGGGGGGTTATATGGGGACTACCCCAAAAAGGGGGCGAATATTAATAATTTTTGGTAGGTAGATTTGCTATCATGTATCACAACAAATATCAGCGAATTCGTTTGTAAAAAGAGCTAAAGACCCCCACACAAACGAAAATTGGGGGATACCCTTATATGGGAGCTATACCTAAACGTGGACCGATATATCCTATCTTCAACTTGACCTGCCTGCAGACAAAAGACAACCCTGTGCAAATTTCCGGCACCCTACTTCAATAATATATATATATATATACTTTATACGGTCGGAAATGAATATTTCGATGAGTTACAAACGGAAGGACAAAATTAATATTGTCATTCCGTGTGGTAGAGGGTATAGAATTATCGATTTCAGAAAGTCTAAAAGGGATGGCTATAGACTTCAATTATTGGGCTATGGAATTCTATCTATAGAATTCTTAAAGTTTATGTGGATCAATTCTGAAAATAAATACCAATAATACTAAGTACCGATTTCATCCAAACACGCCCTCTTCCACCGTAACGAAAGAAATCTTGTGTACGTTACTGGAGCAAGCCATTACATTAATTAAACATGTATAATGTAAATATAGTACCTGAATCGCAAAGAAACACATACTGAAAATTTGAAATTTGATGAAAAACGTGACCAATCTAACCAAATTACTCAAATCGTCATATGGGATCTGCTCTAAAATGTTTACTTTTTGGTAGAAGGATTTGCTGACCAAGGAAAAATCTTTCAATATTCCCATAATGCAAAATAATTCTTATGTGGACGCTATACTAAAGCGTGGACCGATACATCCCATTTTCAATACCAATATATCCTAAGAGTACTTACATTGTATGAGCGAAATTTTAATGAAACTTCGCCTTAAAATCGCGGCTAGAGCCTTCAAAATACATACAATTAGAATGAATAAAGCAAAAAAATGGATAAGACCGCATAAATACACAGAAAAAATACAATACAATGAAATGAATTTCTGCATTTTATGATTGGAATTCATTTTGCATTTTATGATTGGAAGTTTAAAATACTTTGGAGCGTGTGTTTATTTGTCGTTTTAATATTTCCATTTTTATACCCTTCACCACACTGTGGTACAGCGTATTATGTCTTTGTGCATATGTTTGTAACAGGCAAAAGGAAACGAGATAGACCCATGGTTCCTTTTGAGAATATGCATAGAATCACTTTTTAAGTCGATTTAAGCATGTCCGTCCGTCTGTCTGTCTGTCCATGTATTTTTGTGAGCAAAGTACAGGTCGCATTTATGATTCGAATTGGATGAAATTTGGCACAGCTCATTTGTTTGGCCCAAGGACAAACCCTATTGAAATTGGGAAAAATCGGTCCAGATTTAGATATAGCTCCCATATATATTTTCGTCCGATTTCATGTAAATGGTGTACCAAAGTCCCTATATATCTTTCGATTTGCACGAAATTTGGTAAAACGTACTGAATTGGGCCTAGAATGATGTCCGCAAAGTTTCGTGAAAATCGTCCGATTTCATGTAAATTGTGCACCAAAGTCCCTATATATCTTTCGATTTGCACGAAATTTGGCATAACCTACTGAATTGAGCCTAGAGTGATGTCTGCCAAGTTTCGTGAAAATCGGTCCAGATTTAGATATAGCTCCCATATATAGTTTCGTCCGATTTCATGTAAATGGTGCACCATATATCTTTCGATTTGCACGAAATTTGCCATAACGTACTGAATTGAGCCTAGAATGATGTCTGTCAAGTTTCGAGAAAATCGGTATATATTTAGATATAGCTCCCATATTTAGTTTCGTCCGATTTCATGTAAATGGTGCACCAAAGTCCCTATATATCTTTCGATTTGTACGAAATTTGGCATAGTGTACTGAATTAAGCCTAGAATGATGTGTGCTAAGTTTCGTGAAAACCGGTTCAGATTAAGATATATATATTTCCGTCAGATTTAATGTAAATAATGTACCAAAGTTCTAATATTGCATAGATCGATTGATTTTAAGTAATTGACGCACCAAGGAACCAATATATGGTTGATAGGAACAAAACGTACTGAAATTAGTATAACCCAACCTGGGACAAGTTTCGTTGAAATCGGTTCATATTTGGATATAGATTCCACATATATTTTCGTCCGATTTTAAGTAAACGGTGCAAATGGTGTTTGTCAGATTGACATGAAATTTTGCACAACGTACAAAATTGAGCATAGAATAAGGTAGTTGCGTTTTCTAGAAGTACAGACATAGCCCAACGCCCCAACATTTGTCCCATTGTAACAAACAAATGTCATGCTTATATATTGATCTAAGTTGATTCATATTTAGATAAATATCACATATTTTAGTTCATCCAATTTCATGTTAATTGTCCTGTTTAATATACCCATAGTGGTGAAGGGTATCATATAGTCGGCCCCGTCCGACTTTACTACTTTCCTTACTGGTTATTCTATGTTTTCTACTTCTTCGTTATGTTTTGTCTCGTTTCTCCTTATGTACTACGATTGTGCTTGTTGTTCGTATCAACGTTTGTTTGATATATGATAGTTGTCATTTATTTCGAAATAATTTGGAAAATACAAATGCGAATTTTGTAACTACATAGGTCGGTAAAACAAAGAATTACAAAACTAGTTACAATCGAGTGAGTGGAAAGTCCGTAGTTGTTAGCAACAGTAGTCAGTAGTCAAACACGAAATGAGGGGAGGGCGGAGAACGGAACCACAATGGTGGTTGTGGTGGTGTTTTTTTTTCTTGGGAGAAATACATTTGTTGTTGCAAAGAGAGCGCTAGAGAGAGGAAAAATAATCGTAAATAATGGTAAAGTAGAACGAAGTAAGAAAATAGTTTTGATACTAATGAAATGTTTACATTTTTTGAAGAAATAGTGACTTTCACATGATTTTAGGAATTGTAACTTGTATTCGAAGCAAGGTACAACATGGAAAAAATGAAATTATTAAAAAAAAATTCAATAAAAAAGTTGTCTGTGTATAACGGAGAATTATATTGAAAAAATGTTTTAATAGGCCTACAAAATACTTAAAATTGAGCGGAACCTTTGCTTGAGGGTTATGTCATATACGACGGTGCAGAACTCTTAATGCGAACACAAGCCAGTCACGGCTACTGTTCATAATTGTATCTAAGTAAATAATGATTTAAGTCTACTCTCAGAGAAGAGACATAACATGGGCTCCCTTACGCTAGCTCCAAGACATATATAGAGTAACTTCGGGTAATGTGGACCACCATTTTCTTTTTTTGATGTTGTGGGCGTAACAACGGAAAAAATAAAAACAAATTGTTTTCACAACATGGTAGATTTGTTGGCTAATTATATTCCAGGTCAAAAATTATATATATTTGTCCATAAAAATGTTATGTGGGTAATGTGGACCAGTATGTGTGGGTAATGAGGATCAGTAAGTTAAAGGTAGGTTGTGGATTAATTGTGATAAATTTCAATTTATTGCACACTTGGGTAACAATGAATGCAGAAATATATGGGTCCATGTTTTGGAATAGCCCCCATTTAAGGGTACCACCCCATTTGCGGTATTTTAAAGGTCCTTGCTTCATTATCCTACCGAGGCACTTATAATTTCTGATATCGAGTTTTCAGAGGATAGAATACCTCCTCGTATATTAAATGCGCCCTTGTTTCGAACTCGTCCTCATGAAAATGTCCCACTTTTTTATAGTGGTCCACATTACCCGACATTGAATATTTTTATTTAAAAATAAATATCGGCTTCAAAAATGAATAAAAATTTTAAAATAATTGAAAGTAATTACAGATAAATGTGTATTTTTGTTAAAGAAAACAAGAAAACCACATAACCACTTTATATTCGAGAAAAACAAAATGTTCGACTATTTTACAAAATCGTTCGACTATTGTGCTAAAAAATTTTCAAACCACACTTTTACAATCAGAGCTACATTTTCACCTACTAAATTTTCAACATTGCAATTATTTATTAAAAACCAAGTTTGATGTTTGTTTTCACTAATTAGGAAAATATTTATCAAGGCGGCATTGGCATATTTCAAGCATTTTCTTAGATATGGGGGGTGGTCCACATTTGACGCATGGTCCACATTACCAGAAGTTACTCTAATGTCGATGATATCTGCCAAGATATTGCACATACAGTAATAATTAGAATACCTGGGTAGACCATCTCGCAATATTGGAATTAAACTAATGTTTATGTAGATATTTCCAGGGAAACGAAGCTTAAAATATGTGAAGTATGTACAAAATCGATTCAGCTATACGCTGTTTCGAACACACAAAAGCATTCTGACCCAATATCATAAGTAACGTGTAGCGGTGGAACCTAACGAACCAGTGACCCATACCAACCCAAATTAAACATAGAAAATGGGATGCATTGGTCATAAGAAAAAAAATTCACAGCAAACCCAGAATAGCGCTTCGACAAAAAATAACCCCAGAACTGATACATTATAACCTTACATCGGAAAAAGCAAGCCAAGCTCAACTAACCGATGCACACCATTTCAGGTAGAGAGGAAAAATCCTTATTTATTTGAAATCCGGAGACTTTGAGCTTTACACCAGTAACATTTTATATCATTGTGTTTTACGGTTTACAAATGAAATGAGGTCAAATTCAAAAGTTCATTATTTTTATACCCTTCAGAACTATGTTGTCAGAAATGGACCAAATATTTAATTTTGTCGTTTTTCTGGTCGCTCCATAGACCGGATATCGCGAAATTTTACATGGAGAAGGGGATCGGGCCAAAGATTTAGCATGCCTGTTTATTATATAGCGGGTCAAATGATCCCTGATCATTGGACATAGACCGGAGAAGTTGACAGTTTAGTTGAGTTTAAATTGATGCCAATTATATTGTCGTATGTACTCGGATGTGGGAGTTAAACATAAATATTTATAGGTGCTTACGTATTCAGATATTATTTAGTAATCCATTAACATTAGAGGGCAGAAATATAGCGCAGATCGCTTTAAAATTTTCCAAGAGGTTCCAGTTATGGTCAAGGACAACGCCTATAATTTTTGGTGAATATCACAAAAAATTTGGGATGAAGTGTACCTAAAACTGTTTTTTGTTTTTTCGAGGCGATCTGTAGGCCACAAGCCGAACATAACAACAAAATCCACGGTGAAGGGAATCTGGTCAAGTAATTAGAAGGGATGCACTGAATATTGGGATTATTCGGAAAATTTGTCAGTGTAAGGAAGATGTGCTGTTGATCTAATCGGCCAAAAGGGTGCAAATATCACGAAATATTTATTGCCTAGGCTCGAAATAAACATCCGCAGAAAGTTAGATTTCCGTGGTAGTTCTGTAGGGCATTGTATGGTCGGCCCCTTCCGACTATACTGATCCGCTCACTGGTTTTTAGTTTACTCATTTTAAATTCATTCATTACTATTGTCGACTTCTGAAACCTATATTTTCTCATTGTCCTTTTTGAAGCCTTCTCTATAGCACTTTAACTTTTTTGGTACAGTTGAATTTTTATTTGACTTACCTTCCAATAAATTTGTATGAACACTTAATATGGGCAGGATATTTAGCTGGAAATCGTGGCGAATGGAAATATTTCCAAATTTCCAGTGCCTTCGGCGATACATCCGGATTGGCGAAGAAATAGTAATCACAATATGTGCCGGGTATTAGGCGGCCATCATTTTTAAAGCGTTCTACAGCGGATGCAAATAAAAATAAAATCCAGGACAATTATAATCTACACAATGTATAAAATAATGGCACAAAATTCCTTTGTCCTTCTTACCTTTCTTTAAAAATCGATATTCAACGGTGACATTTAAATTCCAATTATCGATTTTCACTGGCACCGTTTTTAAATCATTGTCCTCCGTTGTTCTTGTTGTTGAAGTGGGTGACAAAGGTGTTGCTGACGAAGGCGTCACTGGTGGCGGTTTATTATTAAAACGTAAACGCAAAGCAAACACTTTGCCCGAACTATAAATAAATTGATGAGGTGATAAATCATGCGAATTCATGAGGGTCGTGGTGGTAGAAATGTTGGCAATCGATGTCACATTGCTGGGAAGATGGCCAATATTGGATGCGCTAGAGGGACTGGACGTTGCAGTGACATTACTTAGCGTTAGTGACGTTGCTGGGGGGCTATGTGTGGTGGTAATGCTGTTAGTGGTCACTGCCTCTTGAGATGTGGCATTGCTGGCCGCAGTGCTGACCGTGCTAGTGTAGTTACAAATTATGTACTCAGGCTGTGTGGTATTCTCGACAACTGCTTCACGTAAATATGGAAAAATTTCAATGTAATCCAAACAGCTGCAAATACAAATCAAAATGAGATGGCAGAAAAAATCTAAGCACACACAATTTAGAACAAACGGAAACGGAAGCTATAAAAAAAGACCTAACAAATTGATCACAAAAGCGATAAAGAAAAATCAAAATTGTTGAGCATAAAAATATTTTTATTGATTGATTCGATTTTGTAAATATTACGTAATACAAAAAAATATTAATTTTAATAAAATTTGTTATTCAATTATCTTCTCCTTCGGCCACATCCTTGCGTTTCCTTACACCACATAGCAAATGACAAAAGGCCGGATAATCAATCATTGGTGGGTCTTCTAAATTCTTGGGTTTGGCCAATGGTGCATGTTTCAGGGCAGCTTTGGCTTCGGAATCGGATAGACGATCACCATAGCTGGTCAATTCTTCAAACATTCTGTGAAAAAGGGAATTATAAATGGGTTTCTTGGGGTATATTTGTTGAAATTTACCTCTTTTCTTCAATTTTACCAGTGCCATATAAATCCCATTTACTCCATGCCTCTAGAAGAACATCTTCTGGATCTAGTTCCACTGTACGAAAACTCATCAATTCCACAAAAGCATCTAAATTTAAGGGATCTTTGGCCTGAAAATGAAATATATTGACATTATCAAATTGATTAAATTAAATTATGTTAGGAGAGATGGAAATATATTTTTATATTTGTCGGATCAGTTCAACAACTATGCTGTAAGGATAAAATATGATTGTGTATGAAATATAAAATATGATCTGGAAATGTATTAAGCATTCCAATCGTTATATTTCAACTGGCTGAATCCATTATAAATTGAAATTGAAGTACAGGTCACAATAACTTATCAATCATAACAAAATTTTGTAAGGAGTTCTCCATCTGGCGGTATTTGTATTTTTAGTGATGGTCGGTTAATATGTTGGGATTAAATTGGTCCAAAAATTGTATTTCGGCCCGTTTTTCTTGTCACACTTAAAACACAAATATCAGAAGGGATTGCGGTAACCGATAAGCATGTCAGATATGAAGAGATGGATCAATACATCGCCATGTTCAATTTTTGTCGGGAGAAAAATCAGATACCAAACTACAGCTTGGAGAATATCGATAGGACTAGATAGAACATACCGAAAATGACGTGTGTCCTTTGCATGGGGCCTCTGTAGAAACATAGACATACACATGTTCTGTAAATAAATACGTCCGAATGACATGGTGGCTTTACATAAAGATCGAACGATATTTATAATTTCTAGGAACACTTTCTTCCCAATTAGAATTCATAATAACAAATAAGAGCAAACTCGGTTGACAAACATTTCGGATATTCTTATATAGATACAATTTAATGGGCTCCGATAATAGTAGCTTTAAACGTAAAAACATCGTAAAGTTCGTCAGGGGCTAGTTTTTTATACCATGAGGTAGACATTAAAAATATCTCTATTCGAAATTTTTGGGTAAGAATACTTTACACCCGATGTGGGAAGCAAATTAGTCAATTCGGGTAATAAACGCTCCTATAATCCCCACAATATGACCTCTTTGAAAATTTGCACATAAATTAAGTGGTAAGTAATGAGTTATTTTCAATGTATTTCAAGTTGCGATTTTTTTGCGTTTTTCGAGTAATACCTCTTTTATCTAGGCAACCTCCGCATAAAAATCGATATTTTTAAATATGGCGAAAAGGTAACAAAAAGAAAAAAACCCTGGTGCTGTTTTCAAACATGTAGTGAGCAAAATTAATGACGACAACATTTCGGATGAAAGAGAGAAATTTTCAAAGCAAATAGTAAATTTACTTTGCTTAAAATTAGCGCAAAATTTGGAAAAATGTCACAGAAAAATGAATGCTTTCAAAGACAACCAGAAAGGACAGATAAAAAGTCGGACGGGGCCGACTATATGATACCCTTTACCACTTTGGGTACATACAAAAAATTATAATTTGTACAATATCCTGTTGATAGAAGACACATACTATCTTTGGAAACTATATGTGGGAGCTATATCTAAATCTGAATCGATTTCAACAAAACTTGACACATATCAATCTAGACCTCATTCAATATTCTGTGCAAAATTTTGTCTAAATCGGACTAATATTGGTAGTATGGTGCACCATTTATATAAAATCGGGCGAACATATGTATGGGAGCTATATCCAAATCTGAACCGATTTCTTCCAAATTCAACAATAACGAATACTATGATTTTGTTGGTGCTATGAATTTTGCACAGAAAAAGTGGTCATTTGACCTAGCCTCGTAATGTGGCCCTTCAACCAAAGAAACCGTTTTTTCCTAGGAGTGTGCAACTATTGAGAATCTTAAATGACAACGTACATCCGCTACGATTGGAAGCAGCGACTAAGATTTTTAAAACCCTGAAATCGGACAGTAACACTGTGTGGAGGTAAGATAACACTGTGAGACAAAATCGAGGTCATGGTCTGAGGGTGTATGAAGGGCCTTGGTGAGAACTCTCGAAAATGTAAAGAAACAAACTGGAATTAAGGTATTGAAACAAATCAGGCAATTAGCTGTTCGAATCGAAAATATGAACTACCTCGACATTAATTAGGTCACATCATCGAGAGTTCAATGTATATGAAAACTCCAGAAGGTAAAATTTGACATCGTTATAGTGCGATTTTTTTTTTTTTTTTGCTGGCGACCCTATTGTACTTGAAAATCTAGCTTCATATCTTAATTTTTTGGAAATTGTATTAGGTTTGTGCGTATGCAATGTCGGATTCTCTTTACATCCGGACGTTTATCTCCCTGTTTTCGTAATAGTTTTGTCTTTGGCATAACGCGTGCAGCGTAGGTTCGAAAATTTCGGACTGGCGATTTTGCACTGCAAAATGTTCTGAAGGCTCTAGTGGAAGCGGATCCAGCCGTATCCACGAGGGAACTTGCTTGATGAGATGCACGATAAGTTACAAATTGTACGCCTATCGCTTGTGAATCGGCATGGTCCACTATTGCTCCATGACAGCGCTCGGCCGCATACATCGCACAAAACAATTGCGAAACTGAACGAACTGGAATATGAAGTTTTGCAGCATCCACCATATTCACCGGATCTCTCGCCGACCGATTTTCATTTTTTTTCAAGCATTTCGGTAGAAGTGTATTGAAGCGAATGGAGCATACTTTGATTGAATAAACAGCTTTTGAAGAAAGATATGCAGTTTTATACATTTCTGCAGTAAAATCGAATGAGGAATTGTTTTGTTCTTAATTTATTGAACCGGACTCCTTTGGTAATATGTCATTCTTCATCCACGCAATACTCTACAAAAATATTGCTCATAAGATTTTAGAAATCGAGATTGAGAAATCGATATTTTAACGTTTTAATGGTCTTTTCTCAATTTTAGCCGTGTCATATCATTAAAGCCCCAAATTTATGTATCAGGTCTTATGTATCAATATATTCTGTATAAATTCCTTATTATGAGGAATGGTCGAATTCGTCCGTATTATTATTCACTGAAACATATATTGTCATCTTTATCGTGAATAAAATAGATATATCTACTTTAAACGAATTTCGAGAAACTTCGAAGACCTTCTAGTCATAGAAAGAATTAACATTTTTTCCTTATTCACTCGAAGGTCTCCTATCTAAAGGAGAAACTTGTGACTGATCTTTAGCAAAATTGTTTATAAGATATCCTTATATAGAAAATCTGTAAAATAGCTGTAGAAAACCTTTGAAATGTGTTATTATCTTAGAAGAGAAATTATTTTGCTTTTAGAAGTCAAGAATTGGTCTCCTTGATCTAGAAAACTTTAAAACGTCCTATTCAATCATAGTTGGCTATATTTGCAGAAATTGTTTATAATCCCTCGATTTTTGGAATAGGGGAAATACAAGTACAAACAACCGAATTATTTATAATGTAGTTTTTCGTATTTCCAATTTAATTTTCAATAATTTGAACTTTATTCTCCCTATTCAATACTGTCAAATTTAATTAAATGTATAGTCCATTAAAACTAATATTTAATTAAAAAACTTACCTCTTTTAGCATTTCCTCCAGCAATTCCTCCGAAGATTCACAGCCCAATGCACCAAATGTAAAACGTAAATCATCCTTTGATAACAAACCATCACAATCGGTATCGAATAATAAGAATACCTGGAACATTTTTGTTTGTTTTAATAATATCCTTAAAATCCAACACGTATTTACTTCTTTTAATTCCGCCAATTTTCGTATGTCTAAATCTCGTTCGGCATCAAAATCCTCCGGCGACAATTCCTCGGGTGGCCGATAGGGCCCTGCGCTTACTGGTATCTTCAATGTCGGATTAAATATTTCATTGATTGCCTGCATGGCTTCAGATTCCGTTTCAATTGGCTGTGGTGTTGATGGTTTGCGGGCAGCAGCCACTTTTTGGCGGCGCTAAATTAAAAATATTCATTTTTTATTTCCTTCCAACTAATTTGAGTGATGGCGATAAATTCTCCTACCCTTTCCAAATCATCATAGGAAATTGCATGTTCACTGGTCATGTTGTTTAGTAACACAAAATTATTGGCACGTGAATGAATTTATTATTTTAAGGATAATTGAAAGGACTTTTATAATTTTGTTGTACACAGGATATAACAATTTAAGGATAACAAAAACACTATTTTTTTCTTGTTCACAGGATATTATAGTTTTAAGGATAACGAAGGGACTTTTTATATTTTTTGACAGGATAATTAAAACTCTATTTTTTCTTGTTCACAGGATACAATAACTATAAGGATAATAAAATAAATTCCAAATTTTTTCTTCACGATTTAATTTTTTGTCACAGGAAACCGAACCGATTTGATTGCTTATCCTTTTGAGCGCTTCTATGTTCACTTCCGACCGAGTTCTAAAAAATAACTAAATTTTGTTCACAACAAATTGTCTTTTAATTCAGCAACAAATCGATCATGCAAGCAATCAAATTTATGATTTATTTCTTTTTTACCGAATTTCTGTTTACATTTTAAAATTGACACAAATACTGACAAACATTTTTTAGTCATGTTCAAAAATATTTCAATCGAAAAAATATATCTCATTTTGTGTCATTGTGTGTGCGATTGAAGGTTTATTCAACTCTGACAATATTTTTGTCCACATAATTTGTTTCCTCCTGAGGAAATTATGTCGAATGTCGTCACTGTGTTCTCTCTGTTCGAATGCTAAAGATCCTATCACTGATAGATATGTTTTTCAAGCTCTCAAATACGGTATACCCCACTATCTTATGTCCAAGTAATATTAAATTGATATATTTCCACAGCTGCATTAATCGAATCATTTCCACATTTTTCTTGTTGTTGTGTGCAGAGATGCTTTAATTTTCAAGATTGATGGTTGCAGATGAAGTGCAACAAAATTTTGATACTCATCTCGAACATACATTTGAATGAATGTGAAAATTGTTGATCAACAACATGTAATTTGGAATATTCTGGTCAATGTCTTTATAAAGTGTGATATATGGATGTGTGTGTGTTTGTAAAATCTTATAATTTGTATTGAATGATTAAAATATATTTTTCCTTGGAAAAAATATTCTTTAAAAAATCCACGCCTAATTATAGCCCTTGAAAAAATATTCTTTAAAAAATCCACGCCTAATTATAGCCCTTGAAAAAATATTCTTTAAAAAATCCATGCCTAATTATAGCCCTTGAAAAAATATTCTTTAAAAAATCCATGCCTAAGTATAGCCCTTGAAAATATATTCTTTAAAAAATCCACGCCTAATTATAGCCCTTGAAAAAATATTCTTTAAAAAATCCACGCCTAATTATAGCCCTTGAAAAAATATTCTTTAAAAAATCCACGCCTAATTATAGCCCTTGAAAAAATATTCTTTAAAAAATCCACGCCTAATTATAGCCCTTGAAAAAATATTCTTTAAAAAATCCACGCCTAATTATAGCCCTTGAAAAAATATTCTTTAAAAAATCCACGCCTAATTATAGCCCTTGAAAAAATATTCTTTAAAAAATCCACGCCTAATTATAGCCCTTGAAAAAATATTCTTTAAAAAATCCACGCCTAATTATAGCCCTTGAAAAAATATTCTTTAAAAAATCCACGCCTAATTATAGCCCTTGAAAAAATATTCTTTAAAAAATCCACGCCTAATTATAGCCCTTGAAAAAATATTCTTTAAAAAATCCACGCCTAATTATAGCCCTTGAAAAAATATTCTTTAAAAAATCCACGCCTAATTATAGCCCTTGAAAAAATATTCTTTAAAAAATCCACGCCTAATTATAGCCCTTGAAATATTCTTTAAAAAATCCACGCCTAATTATAGCCCTTGAAAAAATATTCTTTAAAAAATCCACGCCTAATTATAGCCCTTGAAAACTACGCCTAATTTTTTACATTGGAAAAATTGTAAAACATCTTTGCCTACTTGCAGTCTTTAAAAAAATTCTACCACTAAAAAAGTCTCTTCAAAATATTTGTTAGCCATTGAAACAATTTTTTTTAATGTACTGTTAATTATAGTTCTTGAAAAAAAATTTAAGAAATTGAATTTGAATTTGAATTTAAGAAATTTTAATGATAGAACTTTGGTTATAAACTTACCCTTTCAACATTACATTGCATTAAGCCTGTCCATTCACGCATCCCCAATCATTTCTGTTACACACCCACACACAAAACGATTAATAAAACAAACTACCGAATGATCACTATTAAATCGCACTATAATAACAACCGACAATACCAACAACAACAAAACACTTGCTCTCCCTCTCTCATTAAAAAACACAAAAGAACTCCTGAAAGCACAATTAAAGGAACAACAAGAATTGCAATGTCATTGCAAGGCAAAATAAAAACACTATTTTCTTCATGAATTTCAACTCAAACCACTTTAAATCGATAATAAATAGATTTGCGGTAATTAATTTTAATATATTTCACTATTTTTATAATTTATTATCACTTTAATTCTTTTTAATTAAACATTTACGCGGAACGGTTAAATTTCACGACCGGCCATTTGTAGAAAATTTATGACAACTGACGGAAGAGCAGCAAAGGAGTAGTAACAGTGTTGTCAATACTATATAATAATAAAAAAGCGTTGGGAACATGTTGTGACTGTAAAAACTGAGTTTAAATAAGGAACTCTATTTAGTATTGGTATGTTCCCGTGCTGCAAGAATCTACTATTATTTACCACGACAACACTTTTTTTCCTTTATGATATCGAAAAAAAATAGTAAAAACTCGTAGATTCTTGCAGTACAGGAACAGACCATAAATGTTTTAATAAACTTGTTCATTCAATTCAATGTGTATATAATAAAAACCTATTTTAATTAAACAAATACAATTGGTTTGAAAATTTGTCGAGCGCTATGTAAAGGAATAAAAATTAACACAAACCAGTAAGGAATGTAGTAAAGTCGGACGAGCCGACTATATGATACCCTTCAACACTATCAGTATATTTAAAAACTACATCCTAGCAAAAGGGCCATTAACATGAAATTGGATGGACTAAATTATGTGACCTTTATCCAAATGTGAACCGACATATATATATGGCAGGTATATCTAAATCTGAACCGATTTTCAAGAAAATTTACACACATCATTCTAGTCTCAATTTAGTACGCTATGCCGAAGGAAATTTAGGGTGTGCACACGGATAGATATATAGGGACTTTGATACACCATTTACATTAAATCGGACGAAATTATATATGGGACCTATATCTAAATCTGAACCGATTTTCATGAACATTTACACACATCATTCTAGACTAAATTCAGTACGCTGTGCCAAATTTCGTGCAAATCGGAAGATATATATAGACAATAATATATATGGGAGCTATATATAAATCTTAACCGATTTTTCCCAATTTCAGTAGGGTTCGTCCCTAGGCCAAATAGAAGAACTGTGCCCAATTTCATCCAATTTGGAGCATAAATTCGACCTGTACTTTGTTTACAATTTAACATGGACAGGCGGACGGACGGACATGCATAAATCGACTCAGGAAGTGATTGTATGCATATTCTCAAAAGGAACCATGTGTCTATCTTTTTGCCTGTTATAAATATATGCACAAAGACATAATACCCTGTACCACAGTGTGTAAAGGGTATAAAAATGGACGAATATTAAAAACGTATATTAAGCTGACACATATTTCCAAATTGCATTTCTTTTGATAATGGTTGTCTCCTCGTCTTCAGCATAATCTAATATAAAGTCTCAGATACATTTTGAACTTTAAAAGAGTTGTAGAATACCTTGGACATGATATTTCGTATTCATAGTGATTTGGAACAGCACATTCAGTAAGAATTTAAAAGGTAAGTGGTAGCGTTCTCTATTATTTATTTTTATTCATAAATGCAACACAGGAGTTGTGACTTAGCTGTATTGATGGTTACAATGATCGGAGCTGAATTATTTCACACAGATCATACTATTCGTGGAGGTGCGGGATATGCCCTTTTTGAACTATCAATACGAAGTGTCATGTTCAATGCATTCTGCAACAAATTTTAAGTTCTAAATATATTCTAAATTTCATATTAGATTATCAGTATAATACATGTTTTTAATACTCGTCCTTCTTTCTAACGTTTTTGTGTTAATTTCCATTCGTTTACATGTTCAAAAATCTTCAAAACAATTACCTTGTTTTGAAGATTTTTGAACATGTAAACATGTATTTTTGATTTTTTGTTTAATAAAAATATCATTTTATTATACGCACATAAACTAAACAAATGTATTTAAACACCTGCAATATGTATAAACGCCTCCTAAATATAGTTTGTTATTTACACTCAGTTTTCGCAGCAACAACATGTTCTCAGCGTTTTTTTTATTATATTAGTATTGACAACACTATTAATACTCCTTTGCTGCTCTTCCGTCAGTTGTCAACAATTTTCTATAAATGGCCGGTCGCGAGATTTACTCGCTCCGTGTAAATGTTTAAATTGAAAGAATTAAAGTGATTATAAATTATAAAAATAGTGAAATATATTGAAATAAATTACCGCAAATCTATTTATTATCTATTTTAAAGTGTTTTCCGTTGAAATTCATAAAGAAAATAGCAATTATATTTTCCTTTGTAATGGCATTGTAATTCTTGTTCTTTTACTTGTGCATTCGGGAGTTCGTGTGTGTCTTTATGAGAGAAGAGAGCGCAAGTGTTTCGTTGTTGTTGATATATTCGTTTGTTATTATTGCCTGGGGGCTGATGCTGAGAGTCATTACCGTTCGGAATTATGGACGTACGATCGAAATTTCGTACTTTTGGTATTCTGTCAGACGATATCGCTTAAAGTGTGTCGGAATTTCGTATGCTATGAGGCGATAACGCTGTCACACGCAAGCCTTCGCTATTTTGCACTATAGCATATGAGTTATCGCAAACAATTTGGGCCAAAAAAAGTATACATAAAAAGGGGATTTCCCACTCAATATATTGCCACCACTATCGCAGACACAAAATATGCAATGTAAGGAACTTTTGAAGTATTCTACAAATTGCATTGCAATAATAAAATCATTTCCAACATTGCGTTGGAAGCCCCCCAGATACCAGAAGAGTCAAAGCTGCTGCCAGTTGTATTTTTGGTGGTATACTTGTTGAAATTGCTCCGTTGAAATTAATTTCTTCAAGAACATATATGAAGGCTTCTTTTGAAGTCTGAATCTTTTTAAAAATCTATAAATGGCAAAAATTAAACATTTTATCAAGACATATTATTGCAACGTACTCTGAGTCTGCCAATTTCAAGGGATTTCATACGTACTTGTTTTCTTACATCCGTTAAATTACACTCTTCATCCGAAAAAGATAAAAAACAAAATATAATCGGATCCATCAAATTTTAAATTTTGCTTTCAAAGAATTTTAATTCTTTGAAATATACACGCTTTTATACAGTGTTGGTTTAAGGTATTTTGCTTTCATTTTACAACACTATTACAAAAAAACGATTCGGTACGTGTCGACTCACTGAATTAGAAAATTTCGAACGATCGAAATTAATTACGATACGCAATTATATCGCTATCGATTCTCAGCATAAGCCCCCTGGTTTAATAGTGATATTTCGGCCGTTTGTTTTGTTAATCGTTTTGTGTGTAGGTGTGTAACAGAAATAATTGGGGATACATGAATGGACATGCTGACTGCAATATACTGTTGACTGGGGTATGTTTATTAGTTGTATCAATTAAATCACTCAGAATCGTTGCTATAAAGTAATCTAAAAAATTCAAGCTCTATAAATGGGCGTGCAGTTTTGAAAAATAATTTACTCAAGGACTACAATAGCGTGAATTTGTTAAATTATTTTTTCAAGGGTTATATTTATACCGTTCACCACACTGTGGTACAGGGTATTATGTCTTTGTGCATATGTTTGTAACAGGCAAAAGGAATCGAGATAGACCCATGGTTCCTTTTGAGAATATGCATAGAATCACTTTCTGAATCGATTTATGCATGTCCGTCCGTCTGTCCGTCCGTCCGTATAATCCGATTTGGATGAAATTTGGCACAAGTCACTTATTTGGCCCAAGGACGAACCCTATTGAATTTGGAGAAAATCGGTTCAGATTTAGATATAACTCCCATATATATTTTCGTCCGATTTTAGGTTAATGATGCACCTAAGTCCCTGAAAATCATTCGATTTGTAAGAATTTTGGCACAGCGTACTGAATTAAGTCTAGAATGACGTGTGCTAAGTTTCGTGAAAATCGGTTCAGACTTAGATATGGGTTAGGTTAGGTTGAAAAGAGGGGTGGATGATACCACCACATGTCCAACATGAGAAGGACATACTCTTAAGCCATATGAGGCCTGTTGTGCGCTCTAGATGTGCGGAGAAAGTAAAAATCAAGAATTAGTGAAGTGTATATTAATGAAGAAAAACATTTGGGTTTGATACCCTATGAATCTAGGAATTCCGTGTTTTTTGCGAACTCCTGCAGTCTTTTCCATTCACACCCCCTCAGATCGCTTAGTCCGTGGAGGGTGTCATTTCCCAAGACTTAGATATAGCTCCCATATATATTTTCGTCCGATTTAAGCAAATGGTGCACCAAAGTCCCTATATATCTCTCGATTTGCACGAAATTCGGCACAGCATATTGAATTGAGTCTAGAATGATGTGTGTTAAGTTTCGTGAAAATCGGTTCAGATTTATTTTAGTTCAGATTTAGATATAGCTCTCATATATATTTTCGTCCGATTTAAGGTAAATGGTGTACCAAAGTCCCTATATATCTTTTGATATACACGAAATTTGGTACATCGTACTAAATTAGGTCTAGAATGTGTGCAAAATTTCCTGAAAATCGAAATGAATTAGATCTAGAATGATATGTGTTTAATGAAAATCGGTTCCCATATATATTTTCGTCCGATTTTAAAGAAATGGTACTCCAAAGTTCCTATATATCATTCGTTGAATTTCGTGTCAATGTTCTGTCCAAAAGGCGACGTCTGTTAGGAGACTATGTGGAATATACCCAAAGTCGTGAAGGGTATCATATAGTCGGCCCCGTCCGACTTTTAAACTTTCCTTACTGGTTTTTAAATATTTTTTCAATTCTTCGTTTTTTTAATATTCTTTGCAAGCCTTCGATTGGCGTGGACTTTTTAAAAAGTATTTTTTCAGATCTTCCATAGGCGTGGATTTTTTAAATATTTTTTTTCGAGTTTGTGTCATTTGAATTTCCTACAAAATATTATTGTCATGTGGCGCCACTAAATCAATGCGAACATTTATTTTGAGTAATTACGCATACAAAATGCTAACAGGTGTCACTGCTCGAGCATTAAATCCAATGACAATATTTATGAATTAACAACAAAATAGCAAGAAGCATAACTCTTTAAAATGTCATAAAATCAATTAGGCCTTCAATAGAATACAACAAAAAATACTATTTACAAAATAAATCGCCGAACTTACTTGGGTCTTAGATGCAAATGTTGAAAACGTAGCGAAATTATTTCCTCATTTGTTCCGGTAATGAAGATGATGTAGCAATCATTTTTGGCATGACGAGCCATTGAGGCATTTACGGCAACCATGGTTGGCATCTTTGACGTACCATTATGATCTTGAGCTTGTAAGCAAGAACATTCTGTAGAATGGATGGATGGATGGTTAAATGAATGGATAGCTAATCAATAAACAAAGAAGATTTATGCGGAAGACTTTTGGTTCGCTGGTTACCTAGGAAAAGATTTTTTGTGGTTGCGGTTGGTGTGGATTTTGCAAGGACACACCAAGAGGTGGTCATTAATATTGACAATATTAGCAATAATAATTTCATATTTTATTATTTTATTTTAATTTTTAATTATTGAAACTCTTTAAAAATAATTTTTTACACTTTCACTTTTTCCCGCACAGATGCCTCGTTCGTGCTTTTCTAATCGATTCTATTGACAATCAACTCGTTCTTTTAAGTCCAAAATACGTCACGTTCTAATGATAACTAAACCGTGTCTGTTCCACCGGCAAACATTTTTTACAGTTAATATGTTACTAACTGGAGGATTTCCAATACAACAACAACAAACTGATAGGAATAAACCCTAAACCCAATCTCCTTGTTTCACTTTTTATCTAAGCTCCACTTGAGTTTGTGCTCATAAATGCTGCTCTAGACACCAACATACATACATGTGTGGGTGTATGTGAATGTGTCGGTGTGCTACATTTTTTTTTCTAGCCCGATAGGAAACGGAAATAGCATTATGTGGCCAACATCACTTTGGACCAACATACATGATTGTGGTCTATCTTAGGTCTGTCTGATGAGTTTAATGGGCTGTAATGGAACTTTCAACCAAATCTCATTTCTGTTGGTAAAGCAGTGTGACAATAAATCAATCATTTCATTACACCCCAATATTTACAACATCATATATGTGTTAGTATGTGTCTTCCCTTTGATGACACACAAGAGGATTTTGTATTTAAAAATAGTGGTGTCTAGCAATGTTTAGTTGGTTTTGTATTATTGCAAGTTTGACAGTAACTGTTGTGTGTTGTCCCACACACATATCTCATCATCGTTCATAGATTCGCTATAATAATAATCACACGCTTGTAATACCCTAAGCCATGGGCTAAAGGCAGTAATGTGCTACACATACTCTCACATACACACCCACACATTGTGATAGTAACATAAAAACACTTTTGATAGGAACACACCCTCACTTTGGATGGGTGTCTAGATGTGTGGCATGTCATGCCAGATGAAGTGGCAGACAGTTTTTTTAAACAAATTAACACACACACACATACATATATAATACATTGTTAGTTGAAATTAAAAAATGTTGGCTAACACCTACATACCATCATACTCATCTTGAATGGTGTGGCATAAAACACCACAGAAACATACAGATCAACAAGGTGTTGATTTAATAAACACACACCAACACGATAAAGCTATTCAATAATTGGGTTAAATTTATTAATAAATTGTATAGTGGGGTTTGGGAGGAAAGACCTATATTTGGACAGCTGTGAAAGTGAGTGTTTTTTAAGAGATGATGTGGAAATTATGACGAAATAAAAATGATAATTGAAACCTAAACGAAATTGATATATTTTTCTTCATAAATTTCATTTCGATCAATTTTGTTCAGATTAAATCTCCTTGGAGACTTTTAATAAAAAATGTAACAACCGGTTCAAAATATATTAGAGCTATATCTAAATCAAACACGATTTTTACAAAACTTAAGGTACGTCTTTCTAGGATCAATATAGATGTTATCAGTAAAAAAATATAGATGGGAGCTATATATAAATCTGAACCAATTTCAACAAAACTTAACACACCTGATTCTAAGTTCAATTGGGATTTTTCTGTGTAACAAGCTATTGTTGCCTGGAGTGTAACTCAAAATGTTACCTCCAGTTCTTTTTTGGCTATGTAATGTCGACTCTAATGAAACTAAATACATGTCACTCTGACTGAAATCCGTAATATGGGGCTACCCAAATTTTTTTTCCCTACATATATTTGTGGCGTAATTATGATATTTCGAATATTTATCATCAATAAAAAGTTCGACCGGACCTGCATTCAAAATTTCTTAAAAAGTTCGGGACCTTTGTGTAGAGACTGTCTCATTGCAAATTGTCTGCCAATAGCATTCAGCATTAAATACCAAATTAATCACTATCATGATTTAAACCTGCCTAAAATTTCAGGTGGAAATTATTTCTAAGACTATGAAATTGCCGGAAATTGTGCGAGATCGATATTGGCTAATTTTTTCATATATGTATGTCAACCTACACCGTAAACGTGTGGGTTATACCGAAGCGTCTATCGATAAATGCCATTTCAAACAAGAAACATTCCACGAAAACGTTCAAAATTCTATAATTTGTATTTTTTTCTTGAGGTCGGACAACCCGCTAATAAATCTCAAAAAGAACCTGACAAAACGTATGTGTGGGAGCTCACATGATATGTCTTCGCATGTTCCCTTTTCTAATTTCTCCAAATATTTCAGGCAAATAAATTGTGGTGCGCATTCAGACTTGACCGTCCTATGTTGCTCAAGCAGTCACTCTCTCTTTTGACACAAACAGATGGATTATTCCAAAAAAACAAAAAAAAAAAAAAAAAGGACCAACACCATTCAATGTTCGTCTGTGTTTTGTTTTTGTATCGATCTCCGCCTCTTCCCTTACTTAATATTCGTTAGCCAAAAATTCGCATATGTAATTTCCAAATTATTTCGATACACATGCAAATTGCATACATCCATGATTCGTCACTCCCACGAAATCGTATCATGTCCACCAACCTTGATATTATAAGTTCATGATCGTCATTACTGTTATGTAGCACTATTAACGTTTTTCATGTTTGTTAAACCAGTTTTTCATAGCGCTTTTTCACTTCATTATATTCGGCCCACACCTTCCCCACAGAGGTTCAACATATTGAAAACCTGTAAATCTCATCTGAAGATAATTGAGAATTCAAATAGAACGAATCTTTAGGTTTGGTTCGTTTTTTCTTGTTGCTAATATCAACACCGAAATAATTTGGAAAATACATATGCAAATTTCGTAGCGCCAATATAGAAGTCGGTAAGAGAGACTGAAAAAAAGAAACAATGGTATTCAAAACTAGTCACAAACGAGTGAGTGGAAAATCGACGGTGGTTGACAACAGAAACAGTCGTCACTAAGGAAGGCGAGAGGTAGAGGACGATGTCAAAACAAAACACAGCCTAACAATGAATTGTTCTTGTATTTTTTTCTTGGGAGGGAATACATTTGTTATTGTCAAAAAAAGGAAACATAGAGGAAAAATGAGCACAAATTGTGGTAAAGAAGAACGAAGTATGAAAATAGTTGTTGTATTAATGAAGTGTTTACATATTTAGGAAAAATTGTGGCTTTCTCATGATTATAAAAATTTTTATTTGAATTAAAATTAACTATGTCTGACATTACTTTTTATAGTTTTGTGCAGCCCCCAAAAGTTTATAAAGCCGCGAAATATTGGTCCTAGATCTATCTTTAAGTATATCGATCGTCATATCTCGACTTGCTGAGTCGATCTAGACATGTGTGCCCGTCTGACCATTATAATTAGTAAACAGTATACAGGCCACAGTTATGAACCAATCTTCACGAAATTTTGCATGTAGGGTGGATTGTGGCTAATGAAAACCCCTATTTTGGTAAAGATCAGTTGATATTTAAGGATGAAATGGACCAAATGCTTAATTTTGTAGTTTTTCTGGTCGCTCCAGAGATGGCTCTAATTATGATCCGAACATGAAGAAGGGGATCGGGCCAATGAATACTCATGCTTGTTTTGAAAATGATCGGTCAACATTTAGCGTGCCAAGTGGACCCTGACTTTTGATTTCAATTACATTGTCGTATGTACTCGAATGTGGGAGTTACACTTAAATATTTACAGCTACTATGTATTCATATATTATTTAGTAACCCATTACCACACTAGAGAGATCGCTTTGAAATTTTCTATGAGGATCCAGGTATGGTCAAGAACAACGCCTATGATTTTCGGTGAGGATCAGATAATAACTTTGGGATGAAGTAGACCGAAAATTTAATTTTGAGTGTAATTTCGAGTCTATCTATAGATCACAAATGATAGCCGAACTTCACAATACAACCCACGGTGAAGGGAATCTGTACAAGTAATTAGAATTGCTGTATTGAATATTAGTAATATTTGTTGACCTCTAGTCGGTCAAGAGGGTGCAAATATCGCGAAATATTGCCCAAGCTCAGAACATAGAACCACAGAAAGTTAGACTTTCGTGGAAGTTGTGTAGGGTATCATATGGTCGGCCCGTCCGACTATACTGCTCCGCTCACTGGTTTTGTTACAGCTTTTGAATGGGTTAAGCGTTTTTAATTATTTTTTAGAGGGATCTTATTTAGGTGTTGCCAACCCCTCTGCAAATTTTTGTGGCCCTTAAAGACATGGCGCCATCAGAGCGACTCGTGGAAGTCTGAAACTACCTTGGTTTTCCTTTGGTATAACGCGACTTATTTCATTTTGGCCAGTCGAACTCAACTTGATTTCCTATTCATTCTGTGCCACAAATTGGAATTGCATTTATTTTCTCCTATTTTAAATTGTTTCTTATTTCTACTGCAGTCTTGGAATATTATTTATTTTCCAATATTTGATCCAGTTAGCATATATTAACTTCTATTTTCATAAAATAAGACTTAAATACATATTGTACTTTATTAATATCATCATGTATGTATGTGTTCATTACACGGCATGTATTAAAATATAATTTACGTTCATGTTAAATTACGATCTAAAATTAAAATATAGCTCCTGAAAGTATGCTATTTTTTTTTGACCAACACAATAAACTTCCTAAATTCGTTTATCCACGCACAGTGGCATATTGTCACCATCAAGTATACGCAATTATTTTTGTAGTTTTTCTTTGAACATTTCGGCCAGCACTAAAGCCTGTTGGGCATTTAAATTCTGTAAAAAATAGATGATAATTTTTTTATTCTTATTTTTTTTATAAAACAAAATACCCAATAATACTTACCTCGTAATCATATGGTTCCATATATTCCTTACATCTATTGTACCACTGTTTAATACGATTATATGAAAGTAGATCAAATCCGAAGGCTTCGATTTGGGATATAGTAACCATCAAGGTTAAATCAGCAATTGTAAAATTATCTGCAGCCGAGTATTGTCTACCGCGTAAAATTTCATCGAACCAGCCCAGAGCT